TGGGGGGGGGGGGGGTGGGGGGGGGGGGGGGGGGGGGGGGGGGTGGGTGTGTCAGGAAGCATGCCTAAATCGGTACACACCCAGTGCAGAAGGCTGGTTAGACATTTAGGTTGATAAGGAGTGCTGCAGGTCATTTCGGGGAAGCAGAGTTAACACTGCGGCAGGGAAGGATGGGAGGAATCGACAGGTTTTCCTGGTTTGCGACACGGAGACCCCTTGCCTCCAGTGTTTGCAGGGCTTTGTCACAAGCTTCCTCCATCGTTGACTTCCTTCACAACTAAAGCAGACGCCGAGATGAGTCAGCAACAACCTGACTCATAATCCGGTTCAGACAAGACATGACAGAAATTGCGGGGGCAAGATATGATCCTAAATTCTACAATACTGCTATTTCAGTGAGTAAAATCAAGTGAAATGTCCTAAAATACTGTACAATATTCACTTTGGGACAAAATGTAAAACTCAGATGAATATAATCAAGTGTTCTGTCAATCAATAACTTTATTAAGATATTATCTCATCACATGTAGCTCATTTCCCTTCATACATTACAGCCACACTAGCAGCATGGCTCTATGGATTACAACGGCAGTCTGTCAGTTGGTCCACCACTTTGGTCAAGATTGAAATACCTCAACAGCTATTGGATGGATTGCCATTCAATTTTCATCAGCCTCAGTTGTACTTTATGTTTAGTTCCATTCAGCAAGTGTTAGCATGCTAACAAACTAAGCTAAGATGGTGACCATGGTGTGCATTATAACTGCTAAACATCAGCATGTTAGCATAGAGACGTCAGCATTTAGCTCAAAGCACCAATGTACCCAAGTACAGACTCACGAGCATGACCGTGGACTCCTAGTCTTGTTTAGTTTAGAGTTTTCAATAACTTTGCATGTTGAATATTAGTGAAAAAGGTTAGAAAGCAAGCTAGATTATCCTAAATGATGTACTACAAAATAATATTGAGCCTGTGTGAGTTAGTGAAGTAAAAGCAGGAGCGGCCCAGGGAGTCTATTTTGTCGTGCCAGGCCTCGTCACTGTGCCACCACAACATTCAAACCACTGACTTTGACCTTGGCAAAGGGAACAAGTGCTCCACTAAGGGAACAAGCCTACCTCTTAATTTGTCCTTCTCTACTCAAGCCCTTAGTGCATATTAACTAGAACAACCTGGGCTACAGTCAATCATAAATAATTGATGGAATGACCCTTTATGATTCATCTACCAAAAACACATTTTATCTGTATTTGGGATTCAGCGGGCTTGAGCACATTTATTTGAAAAGAGGATTTATTTATCCGTCTGCAGTCAGAATCATTAGCATAACCCTGAGACGATGAAGGGACTCAGCTCTCCATACTGACCTCTCCCTTCTTAACTGTCATGGACTGTCGACGTGGAGTGATCTCTTCATTTATACTGGACAGGAAGTTCTGAGAGATGCGCAGGGCGTCCTGTAGCAGCGGATAGTCAGGGTGGCTGGAGGGCGTGTGCTTCAGGAGGTCCTAGAATAGAAAAAAACAAATCATGACAAATTCAATCCCCCAAACTCTCTTCAGGCAGACAAGGTGTTGCTCCAGATTTGCGTTTGGCAGAAGGACTTACATGCAGAACGAGTGTGCTGCGCGTCACTCTGTCCACAGGTTTGTAGAGAAGAGCTGTGGAGGAGGCAGAGTCAGCTCAACAGGCCCAGTCACAGCTCAACTACTTACAGCAATATTGATTAATGTGGCGGCTGGCCATTCATTTCAATCAGTACTCACTTTCCAGGGAATTTTTAGCCGCCTGGTCTTTGCAGTCCTTTGTGCTTTTGACCTTGAGATTCTGGCAGGAAGATAACACCAGAGGGAACGGTGAGAAGAAATACCCTCATTAAATCACTGCCCCACAGCGCAATTAAAACAATCAGCGCCACTGTTAAGAGCTGCGTGGCTTTTACACAGTGAGGACGGCTGAAAACTGCCCTGTCATCACTTGTCTCAGGGCAGCTGTGCAACATCAAATACATGCCTGCTGCGCGTAGCGTGATTACATACCTCAGATATCTCTGCAAACTGAGCGTTCGCCTGGCAGCATTTGTCCGCCGTCTCCACAGCAACTTTGTAGTTATCCACAAAGGCCCTGTACACGCCGAGCTGGCTTGCCTACAGGGCACAAAAGAGCACAGATTAGATTCATCCTGAACAGAGAAGGTAGATTTAAGTATGTGACTGCCACTGGGTACTTAGCAGTGTCACTGTATGCTGTGCTTTTTTTTAATCCAACAGCAAACACTGAGGAAGCTCTTATTCAGCGACCTGCTACAGAACGCTTTTTCTTTCCTTTACTGCCTATAATGTGGTGAAGCGAGGCTTTTATCTGGCCGGGGGATGACTCCAGTCAGTCTACTCACATGTGCACTGCAAGATCCACAGAGCATTACTAACAGCCAAAGACTCCCACCTTTTCCCCCTGAAAGTCTCCCCTCTTTTAACTATCATTAATGATCAAGGCCTGACATTTAAAGTGTGCTATAATTACTTTCTGAAAGTTACTGACTAGACGAATGGTGGTCTGTTTGATCAAAATCCAACATACAATTTGATGCTGTGAGGTTCCATGTCATTTGATCCGAAGGAGGGTGTTCATCAGCTGAAGTGATTGCCGTACTGTAATTAACTTTGTGTGGTAAATATACGCACTCATACTGCAATCAAACAACTATCGCAACATTTCACTCATATCAGCCCATCAGATACTTTGTTTACCACTGCTCTCAGAATTCCTTGTTTACTCTATTTGCTAACAATTCACTGCTGCGTTCAAGTTAGGTCAAAAGAAGTGGAAAAACAGGTTCTTGTTGCTTTGGCTCTGAAACGTTGTCATGACATGTTTTCCTTCAACCATAATACATCTTAAATGATATTTGTCATTTTTCAGAGGAATTGTTGATTATACAATATAAATGGATTTCCACCGTCAATGATTACTTGGTACGCTTGTGTTGACACACTTATTCAAGTATATTTGTTGCCTTGGTTGTCCTACTGAAGCTAACCAATATATCATCTCCATACCAGTTTCTGGAAGAGGTCGCCCACACACTGCTGGTGGCCCCACTCCTGGACTCGGGGCAGCAGAGCATCATAGAAGTCCTTGTGGATCTCATGAAGCTCTGTCACTTTGAAGAAGATGGTCTCTATCTGCTGGATGGTCAGCATTGGTTGGGATGTTGTGGCTGCAGCCCTCAGAGGCTTCATGGGCTGGATAAATTATAAGACACAATTATAATAGTATTAGAAATTCATCAGACGAAGAATGTGTTAGTTGTTCTGTCTAAAGTTAGATAGTTTTAATAACTATGACTCAGTAATGTCCGTTAAACAGAAATATCTAGCAAAGGTTTGCAAACATTAGCTAACGTTCGCTAACATAAGCTACGTCTTACCAGACCAAGGCTTCAGCTGCAAAGCCTTAGTGTATTAAACTGAGCAAAATGTTTGTTTTATCACTTACGAATGAAACTTTTATTTGTAAGAGGATGGGGTGTTATTTCTTCTTTCAAAAGTTAGAATTATTTAAAAAAGAAATACATACAACACTCAAGCATTTAAAGAAAAACACAATTAAAGATGCTAGCTACTGTATATCACCACTTTTCTTCTATGCTGCAAGCTAATTTCAATAATATACCATCTCAGGAAATTATTGTGTGCGTGTGTGTGTGTGTGTGCGCGCTATAAGCTTCACATACTATCAACAGGGCCTCCAGGTGGCTGAGATAAGTCTCCTCACTGGCCAGGATTCCTGAGAGAACCCACTTTCTCATCTCCAGCCCCTTCTCCTGATCCAACTCCACCTGATATACAAGCATGGTGGAAAGAGAAAACTATTTTCAAATATGAAGAGAAGACACTCCCCAACAAAAAAAAGAGTCACGATGAAGATATGATAACGTTAATGGGTTTGATCTTTAATAAGCCACCCACACACCTCTGCAAACCCCTGGCAGCAGATCTTGTTGTTGTGGGATTACGGACGGACCAGATTTGATTAAACTCTGTAGGAGTTTTACATTCCAAGAGGCCTGCACCAGAGACTGCTAGCATCTTAAGGAAGACAAATGTGTTTCTAGTCCAGGAGTTGTTACTCCAAACAGGTCAAAGCCATCAGTCATCCTGGCTATCATGTCAGTAAGCCATTATATTAGCTAGTTTTTTTTTTAAAACACTGCATGCTGTCTAAGCCCGCCCCCCCCCATGATTTAGGCTTTGAAGATCACCAAGAGTACACAACAGAGGATAAGAATACCACAGATAGGACAGGAACAGAGCAGAGGGGGAAGGGAGCTGCGTCACTTTTAAACATCTGTTCGCCCACAGTATGTTTGCTGAGCATGTATGGTGTTTATCAGCAATGCCCTGTTTCATAATGAAAAGCACTCACATCTGGGAGCTGTACTGTCAACTGTGGAGTTCACTGTCGGCCTCTGGATGCTTCAGCCGACTTAATGCCTGGCTGAAGGGCAATTCTTCTGTCGTTTTATGATGTGCCCTTCACTGATTTTAAACATGAAGTTCAGTCAACTCGTTATACAGAGCAGTACAAAAAAAAGTTGTAAAATGTCCTTAATGGCTGTGGAGGAAATATCCAAAGTCCGAGAAAATAACCCTAATTATGTCGTCATTTGAGGAAGTGTAATACTAAATCACTAAAGTCACCCTGTATTTGCTCTGTTTTGCGCATGATTGACTTAATCAGGAAGAGCATTTCAACTCAGGAAATGTCACGTGTCAGCCTCTTGAAAAGGGATTAATTTAGGCAACAACAAACAGTAGAACTGGCATTACTTATTCGTAATGATTTTCAAAGATTTGTGTAATTACTAAACAATCAGAACAACATGGTTACACTACGGACCTTCTGTCAGATTTTGCAGGAGATCTAGTGGTTTGTTTAACAGCACAAAACATGAAGGTGTAAACCAACACAAATACAGAATGCGGTATCTGTATATGCAGCAACACTAGAATAAGTGGAAACAATATCCTCTTTTCAACAAGAAGAATGAGGTTTATAGGAAATGCCGTAACTCAGTGAAACACTTAGCATTAAGACAGACGACAGAGGGGACAAATATCTAGTAATAATAATTACATTAAGAAATAAAAGACCTGAAATTAACTTGTTGGCTGAAACTAAATATCTGCTTTTGTTTTGAGGAGGAATGATGGGTTGGATTTGGTATTTTTACACCAACACACAGACAGTGGAAGAAGCAATCTTAGGCACCGTAATGGCAACTTCTCATCACAGAATGAGAAGCCAGCACTGCTCCAAGTGTGAATGGTGCGTGGAGAGAGGACAGTGAAGGACAGTGCAGCAGCAGTAGCAGCAGAACAGAGAGATGGAGGAGCAGCACTGTGACCTGTGACAAATTGGTGGGAGTTGACCCAGTAACATTACCGACAGCGTGGACTCCAGGGAGCCGGAGGACTGGGTGTCTCGGCTGCTCCGGCTCTTGGAGCGGAGTCGTGGCGAGGAGGACGGGGATCCGGTGAAGGATAGAGGCTCGTGGCGAGGCTGGTGCTCCTCTGAGTGCTCCAGGTCATACCCATACGACGGAGGGGTCTCATTGTAGGGAGCCTCTGTGAGAAACAAAGGACAATGGTCACATGGGGTGTCATTAAACTGTTAAGCCGTGTAGTAAACACGGACAAACATCGTGGGAAATGCAGCAAACTGAAACATCATTTTCAGTTGGTATTCCAATACCATGCCAATAGAGATTAGAGTAGATGGTGGCTATTAAAGCTATTTAGGAACTGATTGAAATATACTGACATTTAGTGTTAATAGCTTCATAATTTCATTTGACATCATGTACATATGCAAGCCACCAAGAGCAAAAGGAACAAGTAGGCAACAGTTCATTTTGTTAATCCGTCCATGACTGAATCGCATTAAATTGTTGTTGCTATTATTTTGTCCAGCCCCCTGTATATAAAGCGTCAAAATAAAGAGAGATTGAAAAAGGACGTGTCTAACCAGTATCGTCAGTTGACAATAAACACCAAGCAGCGTGCTTTTAGTTTACCGCCATTTGTCTTTATATCTAATCCTCTTTTAACCTTCATAAAACTGTGACCAACACAGATCTACCACACAGCCTGTGCCAGCCGCCGAGGGCTCGTGCCAGGCGACTGGATAAGCCTGGGAAACTGCCGGGGCAACGCACGTGCTCTGCTCATGCCAGCCTTGTTGTGCAGCGTGTCTCCTTCAGGATCAGAGAGAATCTGCAAGGCACTGCCGTAACCTGGTATAATATTCACTTTGTGGGTCTACAAGTCAAAGAGGCGTCGAAGCTCAGAAAGGAGCACAGCTCTTCCGAAAAAAGTATGTGCCAGAGACAAGACAGAAATACATGTTGTGCTCGTCATCCCTGTGATTTCAGACTTTTTAGGACACCCTTGAAGATCAACAGGCTTTGTAACTTGTAATTACTGTCAGCCACCCTTGAGTCACCAGCACCGATCATCATTATCATCGTCGGCAAGGATGTGGCAGATGCAGAATAGCCATCTCCAAACAGCAGTAATAAGAAATAAGACAGCCATGTCTGGCAACGTGGAGTAAGGTATGTTAAGAAGAGGCTAAAAAAAACTTGTTCCCCTCGGCTTGAAAACAGGATGGAGAGGATTCCGGAAACCGGGGGAGGATAAAGCCCAGTCACCCTGGAGAGGCCTGAAAAGACAGGCGAACTGACAGGGTGACATCCACAGAGGCCATGACAGAGGACTCAAACAAACACACTGGGCCCAGCAGAGAGGCAGAGGGCTCTATTGACTGCATGAGGAAGGGACTACTGCAGGACAAACAGCGTCAGAGCACAGGGGAAGTCCATGTGAAAGGCCACTCTGTGTTCCAGAGAGATTATACATCAGCCCCGGCACTGGATGAATAACACATCCTCTCTCAGGCAACGGCCTCGGACACACAAACTATCTTCTTCCAGGGAAAAAAAACAACAGTCCGAGCTTGGAAAAACACTACTAAACAAGAATAAGTTAAGAGCAGGATTTACAAACCTGTTCCTAAGTCTTGAACACAGAGCCATTTGTGTCTTTTGTGGGAACATTTTTAAAACGCACAGGTCTCGTTTTGGCAGTGCCAAGTGTGAGAAAGTGGACGTCACAATAGAGCCTCAGTGAGCGCCGATGTTCTGGCGATCACAAGGGCCGCGACTGAGGAAGTGTCCAGGCAGGTCTGCCCGGAAAATTCAGCAATTCATCTGCTTCAGAGCGGAAACAGGCTTTCTGCACAAGGTCATCTTTTCACAAACTCCCTCTCCCTCTCCTGACACACTCGTCCAGCTACTGGTCACGGCTATCATATTTACATTCCTGCTCACTTTGATGCCTTTTACAATTAAAGACTACAAACTTTCAGACATAAAGGGAAACAAAATGTCCAATGAGCCATTGTGACTCAAAATGCAAGTCTGTTTTTACGTAAGAACCAGTTCTTTGGTTCCAATGCTCGTCTCTGTTGTAACCTGTTTTCAGGTTCTTTGTTTGTCCTGATAGTTAAAGAGTTTGTGACCTTTTTAACAAGAGCTGAACAAATAACCCGAAGTGCAGACTGCTCTTTTAAAACCTCAAACACGTTTAAGAGATCTACTCACATGGTGCTGATGTGGAACAACCGTAAATAACACAAATACCACAAAATATATTAAAGTTGATGCATGAAAAATAAGACTCAAACATATAAAAATGCAGTTCATAATTGTTTTATGAACTTAACTAAAACAAATTATACCATATATAGTGACCTTCAACTAAACTGTTATATTTTTAGAGCCTTTAAAAATATAAAAGGCACATTTTATTTATTACTTTAACTGTTAAAGCTACTACGAGGAACTTTCATTTTGTGTTGATTTTGGGGGTAAAAGCGGTAGTGTTTCCGATCACCAGATTCCTTTTAGAAAACTTCTCATTTTACTGTAGCAGGGTCTGACAGTGTGCTCCACTCAGTCCTGGTTTTGGTTCTCCCGTGCCTCTCTTCCCTTAAGCGGGCCCAGAAAACAGCTGGTGCCGGGCGCAGGTCTCTCCACTTCTGACCCGACTGCATTCCGTGGGGAATCAGACCCAATGAATAACTATACAGAAGATGGTCGTGCTTACTTATGTAGGTCATATAAATATTAAATTGAGACGGTTTCATAACCAGTTAAAAGTTCCTTGTAGTAACTTTGAGTTGGTGTTTTCTGTAAATGTGTTCCTCTTGCTCCAAGGTATGCATTTCTAGTGGAGAATATTAAAACCTTTTAATTTATTAAGGTTGCTTTTGTTGCCTACAAAATGAAGTGAAATTTGAAGGTTTTGTCTAAAACACATAAGAATCAACCCTACAAAAACCTAACATGTGTAATATGTTTGTAATTTTACAATGTAAACTCTATTATTAAATCCCCCATATTCAAAGGAATATTAGAGGACATGACCTCGGTATCCTCGGTGGTAGCTACGAGAGATTGAACAACCATCACATACGCTGATACAGAAATATCTGTCGTAAACTGGAATTGGCTGACGTGTGAGGCTTTATTATGCAGTCAGTCCTCGATTAGCTCACTTATTCTGTCAGTCTACGAGTGGAAATAATGCTCAATAACACAGTGACACTAGAGGCGGTGCATCAGAAGTCACAGTGAAGAGACCATGTTGTTAATGATTTTTTGGTTTCCACTCTGCAGTAACTCATAAGTGACCATTTACAAAGTATCACACATGAGCTGCTCTACAGTGTGTCCTCCCTGTCACACAAACACACACAAACACACACACACACACACACAACGAGCTGCAGCTTAAAATGGTTTCAACTGTGCAATAGAGCTGTAATAAATACATTCTAATGACATTACATAAGATTGCTGAGCCCAACAGCTGTGCTTGTGAGCTGCGTGGAGCCGTGGATCAGAGAGAAGCCGATTTGGTTTTGGACCGTCTCTGAACTCGCTAATTCTGTGTTTTTCAAGAATTTTATTTCACCATATTCCCACAAGTCATGGTTTTATAGATGTCAGATTACTGCAAATCATCACAAAGAAAAAGATTACGGTTGGAATCACCTTTAATCCTCTTTTTACACAATGCCTTTTTCTTTCCCACACCACCACACCGAACACCCCGACTACAAACAGAACTCAAGGATACATAAGGACTCCTGACTTTCCAGCCCCCTTCTGGACAATCATCACGAAACACTTTTCCTTCCTCCGAACAACAGCCAGGTTGTTCATGAGAAAAACAACACAGCAGTTTGATACTGGGGACATGTTGGACGTCCTATTGATGACAAAGCAAAGACGCAGCCAAAGCGCTAATCCTAATCCATAGAGATGAACTGCAATAAACAGGCAGAGAGAGAGAGAGAGAGAGAGAGAGAGAGAGAGAGAGAGAGAGAGAGAGAGAGAGAGAGAGAGAGAGAGAGAGAGAGAGACAGACAGATGTGCAGCTGAGACGGAGTCACAGCATCAGAGGGAACTTTCCCTTGGGAAACATTTCTGTTGTTATGTTGAGACTGAAAGCTTGTGTTTGTTTTCAAAATGATTGACATCATCATGTGGCATGGACACAAAAGCATTGCCTTTTCACTTCACAGCAGGACATTCAAATATGGGGAAGAACAAGCTTGCTATTAGTTCTTGAAAACAACCAAAAGTGGGAACTCATCTGTTAAAAGTACAACGGATAAAATATCAACTCATGGGAATACATTCTGACAGCAATTCCCAAAAATAAAAAAAATCAAAGAGCAAAAAGTGTCTATTGATTTGTCCCAGAAAGAGCTGGAACAAGAATAGCAGCATCCATAAATCCCCATTTCACCACCGGGAATGGGCACGGTGGTGCCCATCAGTGTGTTTAAATAGCCCACTTATTGTTCCCCACTGTGAACATATTGACCGGCCACATAAAGATCAGTCAGCTGATGGACAAAATTCAGATCACAAGCTCCCAGAAATAAACACCACATAGCAAATGTGTTGATCGATCCAGCTCACAAACAGCTGGAAATGAGATTTAAACATCTATAATTCACCACAGAGCCAAAAAAAAAGTGACAACGAAGGACAGCCTTTCTGTCGCCTCTCGAATGGTTTGTATAAATCTGGAGAGAAAGGTTGCACATTTGGAAAAAAAAACAGCAGAAGATGCCAATGTGAGATGTTGTTAAAAGCTTAGCACCACTTTATGGCTCCAGAAAATGGATTCTCCTGCAGACTGTGCGGTCACTGGGGAAACAGAGGTGGCATGGGGAGCAAATAGAGGGAAACTGGCTAAAGGGTGATGGCTCTTCAGACACTGGACATGGTGAGCCCCGGCCTGTGGCTCTTGTAGTTTTCCTCACTTCGGGGCTAGTGGAACAATCTGTATAGATGTATCCGTGTTGCACTTCACCGTGAATCTTTGGTGACATTCAGGTCTCCAGATTACAAAGCGTCTACATGAATCCCAACACTGCTGATAATGTCGCTGATCTACACAGTAGCACTCAAATCCCGTCATCATCACGTGATTTGTTTTATTTATTTCAATATCTGAGCCATTATGTTGAAAAGGAATTCCATAAACTT